TTGAATTCATATATGCATCTCCATACCCAGCTCCAGTGCTGTACCATGAACACTTCCAGAGATAGGCAGTATGAAAATTCGTATTGTATGGGAGGACGTGTTGTACAATAGCTCCAATTTTTCTCAAGAGTATGCGATTGATTTCATATACATAGTACCTCCATACCAAATTCCCGTACTGTGCCATAAACATTTCCAGAGATATACAGTACGAACAACTCGGTTGAATATAAGTGCCGCGCCCCTTTTCCAATAACTCCAATTTTTCTCCATGAGTATGTGATTTTTTTCATACATTTTTATACTAAATTCAAAAATTTTTCCATGAACGCTTCCAGAAATATGCAGCATGAAATATTCGGGTTGTATAGGAGGTACCATGCCCTCTTTTTCAATAGCTCCAATTTTTCTGCAAGCATATGCGGTATACATAGAATCTACATATATCACAGATGGATAAGAGTTGCTGCTTAAAAAAACACATAGCAGCAGGGTTTTTATGCGTAATTTTATACATACATATGTATGTACATAAATATGCATAAACAAATGTAAGTGCTAACAGCAATGGCAACATAAACGACTCTACATACATAACGGCCTACCTACCATAGGCAGGGTGGGCAAAAACTCGGAGTTCGAGCGAGCGAGTGAGCAAACTCCTACTCAATGCCTCGCAGACAACGAGGCGCTCGCAGCTCGTACTCGTAGCAGCAATGAGGCGAGGCACGAGAAGTTTGGCTCGCTCGCCAAACGAGCGAGCGCTGCTTGTTTGCTCGCGCTCCTATTAAATGAGCGAGGCTGTTGGGTGTTGCCTCGCTCGCAGTGCGAGGCGAGTAGCTGTCTGCATACTCACTCTGCTAGGAAAGACGAGTGAGCGACGAGCGAGCGCTCCGAGTGTACTATACAACACATGCATTTTTGTGCATAAAAATGTGGGAATGTATGTCAATAGATTATGTACGAAAGTATGTTAATAATTGTATGTACATATGCATATATATATGTGAAGTATTATATTAGGGCAGCATTTAAAACAACAAATAAAATTGATTACATACATAAGCATAGATTATGGAATGAATTATTTTTTAGAGTTATATTCATACATGTGTACACACATAACATGCATATTTATATATGTTTGTATGCACGTATTTATGTATATATGCATTTATATATGTATGTACATATGCATGTGTTTTGTCTTTACAGAGAAAAGTAAGTAACGAAGATATTATAATCGTTTGTGCCGCAGAAACAAAAAACAAGTAAGCACTTGCTAACACCCCCAAAATCAGTTTTCTACTTGTAGCAGTTATGCTGTATACCTGAATGACATATAGTCCTTGGTGAAAAAATTTATTTGTGGCCTGTTGTTCAAGGACATGTGTACATATGTATGCATGTATATATGGATATGGAGACATGGGAAAATTTGCGTAAACAAAGAATAGAGACCGGTTCGCATACAACTTTGGCGTTGCGTTGGCGTCGAATTTCAAAGCAGCCGTCCACATATCCAAAATTTGGCAACGCTAAGGCCAACACAAAGCAGAAAGATCGCTGCGTCGGTCGCCAGCTGTTGCAAATAAATAAAATTAAATGAAATGTTTTTTCCTTTTAATCAAATGAAGGCAAGAAATATATTTTTCATGCTATTATTGATATGAAATATTAATTTATTTCTCGTTAATATGTTAATTTAGTGGCCAATGTAGTCTCTGCCAAGCTTCATTGTAGAACGCATACTTTTAACGTGCGTTCTGTCAAACCAACGCCAACTACAAAGTCAACGCGAAAGTTCTATCAAATAGTAGTTTGTATTATCCTACATACATATATATGTATGGGGCTAAACCAAGAATATTCATTTGAAAATGCTGATGTCCTACTCATTTATGAAATGAAAGACAAAATAATGATTTTTATAAATATTATGTTCTCATTTATACATATGTAACATAGTTACTTATTCAAATTACTTAGTAATTACTTGTATGTAAGAATACAACAACAAATTATTTATCAGAAGAATTGCCCCTTGCATATTGAAAAAAAGTAATAAAAGCTCTCAAAAAAGCAAAATCGCTAGAGCGAAAAGTGTTTGAAAAACCGCATAAATTCAAATCCGCATAAAAAAGAACTGCATAAAAAGAGACCTAAATTAGAAATTATTGAACATTAAAAACATTATATCTACATAGATATGTATGCACATATGTGCCTACCTAGTAGATAAAACTGGTCCAAATAGCACGAATCTATTCTTCTGTGCATGAGAATATATACAAACATATGTGTATATACATATGTATGTATATACATATCTGCATGCGTGCATACAATCCTTTACTCGAAATTCTTAGTTGCTGCAATTTTTATCCCATACATTTTTGCCGACCAAACAACGCGTTTGCCTGTCTAATCTGCTTGCCTCATTTGCCTCGCTCGTCTGCTGCTGCAAATGAGTGCCTCGCTCGCAACGACGCCCTCGCGAGGGCAGAGCTAATGAGGCCCTCGTTTGCCTGCTGCTCTACTCTTGCGCTGCCCTCGATTGCTTACTCGCTCGCTGGCTGCTCAGCGCGTGCGCTCGTACTTAACGAGTGCTCATTTGCAAACAGCCTCGCGTGTTGCTCGTGTGTTGCGCTAGCTCAGTGCAAACTAAGGAGCGAGCGAGGGGCTAAAATGAGGCAAATCCGAACCCTGACCATAGGTTTGTATAGTAACTTCTCTAGTAAAACATTGCAGCGAGAGCGTAAAAGCAAAATAGAGCGTAAAATTGAGAAGAAGAGAAAACTAGCAGAAAAAGTTAGGTCGGTGTTATGCAGACAAACTTTTGTTTGCCAAATTAAATGGCGGCTGCTTAGTTTGCTCGGAGGTGGTTATGTCGAGTTTGGCACAGGGTTGCACGTTCATTATGGTTTTCATGGCTATTACCAACACGAAATGAGAATTTCAGATGTACATAACGCGCAAAATTTAAAATTTTTGTATATGACAACACCGAATTTGCTGCAGTTTGACCAAACAAAATTAGTTTTCTGTGAGAGTCGCCAAACTCGCTCTCTCCGAATTTGCTGCAACAACAATTGCACGCAGTTTGCCAAACAAAATTTCTGCATAACACCGACCTTGATGACATAGTTGCCAACTTAGTGCTTTAAGCACTAGATTTAGTGCTTTTTAAAAGTAAAACGCCAAAAAAATGGTTTAGTGCCTAGTGCCCTTTTTAGTGCTTTTTTCTGAACTAAAATTTCTGAATTTACAAGAATCTACAAATTTAAATGCACTAAAATGCAAACCATGATTGTTAAAAAGATGAAGTTGCAAACCCACGTTCTTGCGTTCTTGTTAAATTGTATTCGCGTTGAAAATGCTAGCACGCAATAAGTTAAGTATTTATTTTTTTTATTTTCTTGATTATTGATTGATTACACAGTTCGAAAAATTTTAACTTTTTTTGCCACCTGAGTGCATCGGTTTCTGTAGATTCTTCGGTGCTGAATACAAATCTAGCTGCAGAATTTCTATACCAAGTCAGAATTTTGAGATATCCTAGCCTCTAAGTGTAAAAACACGGTTTTTCGCAATATTTGAGGTTATATTATAAAACAACAAATTTTTTCGCACATTTCTACTTAGGGTATCATTAAGTATTACTCTTCCCCTTTAAAACTCAATTTCGTTTTTTGCGATTCGATTGTTCCTTCTCCGGTACGGCTTTAATGTGCAGTACTTCGGTATTACTTCGCAAGCATGAATGTGTATTTATTTATACATGTAAATATTGTTTATTTTTTTACTTTTGTTTACCATAAACTGTTATGAAAAAGAGTATCCTTTGATAAAAAAAAATTTAGTGCTTTTAGTGCGGCAAAACGCTCCTTTTTCCAAGATTTGGAGCTTTTTGAAACTGAAAAGTTGGCAACACTGGTTAATTAACACAAAACTAGCAAAAACTTGCAAGTGAACAGCAGTTGCATTGTTTTGACATTCTGCTGTAAACATTTTACGATTTATAAATCATTTTTAAACACTTTGCTTTACACACACGCACTTACAAAGTCCAGTACATCATTAATATTTTGATTTCCACTCATTTCACTTTTGTTTGTGCTAAACCAATTCAACAAACGGCGGCTTTTGACACTTATTCTTCTTCTTCTTGTGCTAGCTAATTTCTGCTAGTATAAATTTCACTAGCAAGAATTTGCAGCTCTCCCGTGTTGTTCGCTCTCGATTCTGTGCTCTCTTGCAAATTTGTTGGGTTATCATACGCTTTTCAAGTAAAAATTTGCAGGTTCCAGTACAAATTAGTACTGACTATTGGTTACTATAGAAACCTATTATTTATCCATGAACTGTACATACATATTTGTTTTTTTTTTAAATAAGAATCAACATTAGGTACGTTCGCGTAGCTGTTAATTGTTCAAGTTTAACCAAAACTTACAGGTTTTTGCGTTCGCGTACGCAAAAAACTTGCAAAGTAGGGGAAATTGAGAGAGCAAAGTGACATTTCATTTTGAGGGGAAGCTGTTAGTTTCTGTTGGAAAAATTTTTGCCAACAGGGAAACAGCTGATCAAAAACAGCTGGTAGGAATTTACGCAAATCACAAAATTGAATTTTAGCATTTTAGAAAACAAATATGAGCAAATATTACAATATGGAAGAAGCAAGTAGATCTAGTTTTTGTTAAGTTTATATGCATGTGCATATGTACGTATAATAAGTAATCTTTTTTACCAGGTCCCCAACAAAAGGATATGTATTCGTGAAACGAATGAAGATAAACTTTCAACTACGCCAGGAAGTACCGCAGAGCAGGATAATGCCTCCATGTCAATAAATCAGGACATTGGAAACTTCGAAGGTATTTTTATAAATATTTTTCTTTTGGTCTTAAAAACTTGCCTTATTTTTTTACAAAAGCCGAGAATATGGATAAAAAAAAGTAATGGAAAGAAAACAAATAGTTACTGCGCTTATGATTGCAATGGAATCGTCTTCATCAGAAAGTGACAGTGAAAGTGAGAACGAAGAGGAGTTAGCCATAATGCAAAAGTTATCAACAAAGTACGATTTGTACTCAAATATATTGCTGCTGTTCGGTGAAAGGCAGCCTCGTAACTGCGTTAATAATTATATTGAGCAAACAGTGCCAACTTACACTAAAAGAGAATTTAGGATGCATTTCCGAATTTCCAACAGTCTTTTTGAGAACCTAAGCGATCGGATTTTTATTGCAACCTGCGGGGTGACAAAAGACTCTCGTAAAAGACACATTTATTGTTATTTTTGTGCTTTGCTGGTCACGCTGGATGTTGTTACCGAGATTTAGCCGACCGCTTCAATCTTTCTCTTTCAACGATTTGTGTTGCAATTAATAGAGTAACGATGTTCTTAAGCTCCCTAAGTCCACAATTTATTGTATGGGCAACCCAAGAGCAGATAGAGGAATCGAGTAGATTCTTTGATAGGAAATGTTTATTTTCCAAGGCAATAGGTGAAATATTCAATTGTCAATGAACTTGTATATAAATTATATTAATTTAACTATTTAGGTTGCATTGATGGTATGCACATAAGGATAGACCCGCCAAGTAAAGGAAAGGACGATTATATTGACCGCAAAGGAATAACATCAGTATATCTGCAAGCTGTTTGCAACGAAAATAAGAAATTTCTGAACATTTTCGTTGGCTATCCAGGTTCTTGCCACGATAGTTGGGTATTTAAGAACTCAACGCTTTACAACAAATTGTCCTCTTATTGTAAAGGTAACAACCCTTGAAATCTATACCATCACATAACCCAGCATTTGATATGTTTCAGATTATTACCTGTTAGGTGATTCCGCATATCCCTGCAACAAAAACTTAATCACGCCTTACAAAGATAATGGCCATTTGACAAACGCTAATAAATTGTTTAATATTAAATTAAGTTCCGGACGCATAGCTATAGAACATAGCTTCGGAATCCTAAAACAACGTTTCAGGCAGTTATATCACTGTAAGCTACGAGGCATGAAAAAGCTCTGCCATTTTGTAAGGGATTGCTGTGTTTTACATAACATTGCCGACGAGGGAGATTTAGAATTTACGGCAGAGGCAACTAAGGAGCTCAATGAGGAAATCGCCGTGCATGGCGAAGTTGCAAGGGGAAACTCTGTGAGAGATCCGATTTGTCGCGATATACAGCTCCGCCGAAATCAAAATGTTTAACATATACATACAACATGTTTAACATATACAAGGGGTCAAAGTTGAGGTCTTCGAAAAATTAAATTCCTTATATTTTAAACAATTTTTAACTGATTTTAAAAAAATTGGTATCGTTTTAAAGGTGATTAAACCCCCTTTTCTTTCTTCTGATATGCATACGTGTGTACTTCGTATATAAAAATTTAAGAAAAAACACATTTAAAAGAAAAAATACCTTTTTATAAAAAAAATATTTTAAACAAAAAAATTACTACCCGATTTTAAAAAAATTGGTATCGTTGTAAAGGCGATTAAACCCCCTTTCTTCTAATATGCATATTTGTATACTTCGTATATAAAAATTTGAGAAAAAACACTTAAAAAATTACTAATTAGTAATACAATTGAATACTTTATTGAAATAAAACAGAGAATTGCCTTTAATTTTTATATTTAGCTTGTTATGTAAAAAATCAAAAACCATGGTGTTTTTATTATTTTATATGCCTTAGACTTCTGTTACATATACGTTTGCTTTATTTTTAACAGGGCTGTGGGTGAACAAGAACGAATTAACGCATAAAACAATATTAATTATTTGTTTTATTTAAATACGGTATTCAATTATATTACTAATTAGTGATTTTTTTGTAATTTTTTTTTTATAAAAAAAGGCATTTTTTCCTTTTTAGTATTTTTTCTCAAACTTTTATGTACGATACCAATCTTTTAAAAATCATTTCAAAATTTTCTGAAATATTAAGTTTTTATTTTTTCGAAGATTTTCACAAAAAAAAATAAAACCATATATTTACCATATATTTTTATTCTGGTTTTTACTCTATTATCTTTGTACTATTTCATTACACAAATCTTTTTTAGAAAATACATAAATATATTAAAATTCCTTATGTTTTAAAAGACTTATTCCAAATAGCATGTAATGTATTGAGTTTATGAAAACATAGTTTATACTACGACAAAAAACATAAAAATATACTTTCTACACTTTGTACAAAACTCAGGAAAATTCAATAAATTTGCATACAAGTTTCCAACTTTCTGATCACATTTTTAGTAACAATTTTGAAAATGCAGTGGGGAAAAACTAATAGTGTGGCGAAACACAACCGAAACCATGTACGTCCAAATTTCAAAGGATTTAAAAAACTTCAGCAAAGTTTCTTCAACATTTTTTATCAGATTTTTTAGGAAAAGTTTGGTATGCAGTTTTATAGCTCACTAAATTTTAGTATAATAAAGTGCAAGTGAGAGGTTGCTGAAAAATCCTGCTGATCAAAAAGTTTGAAATGTTGGTGAAACTTTGCTGAATTTCCCAATTTTTTTACAAGCTTTGAAATTTGGAATTACATGGTTTTTGTTAGATAAGAAGACATACTTTTGTAAAAACTAATAAATATTAAATAAAAAAAAGGAAGGTAGCCAAAGCCTGTTAAAATGTCGCGTCCCTATTAGTTGTTACAATGGATATAAGTATATTCATTTTTTTAAACGATCTACTAAAGATTTTAAAATATAATTTTTTTCAGTCTGTAGCTGCTCCCTTCTTTCAGCACGAGCTTCCCTTCTCCTCATGCTTTCCTCTTTAAGTCTTATATTCTCCTCCAGCAATTTTTGGAGCTTTTCGTCAATTTTTTCCCGTTTAGCCTCGCGAAGCTCCGTCTTCTCCATAAACAACTCCATTGCTGACTTTCTTTTTCTCGAGATAGAAGGTGCCACGTCTAAAATTGATTTAAGCACAAAAAATACTCGTTTTAGTAACATATGAATAAACTAGTACAAGCTTCTATACGTTAATACCTGGAGAGGCTGGCGAGGCCTCAGAAACTTCATCCGCTTCAGCCGACACCTCAACCTCATTATCGATAACGCATTCCGGATGTACTGATGCTCTTTCTTTAAAAATTTCATCCAGTTCACTATAATTGGAAATGAAAACAATTGATAATAATTAATGAAATTAAAATTGTTTATAAGTCTCAAAGCTTACGCTTGATAAGGACAAGTTTGTCTTCCTCTGCCTGTTTGGGAGCTGTTGAGCTGAACATTTTTGTAGCGGCGCTCCAGAGTGAAAAACTTCCCCTCCACCTGCGCAGCATTATAAAAATGCCCTTTAGCGCAGAGCTCGTTGCTGATGGTGTTCCACATTTGTTTTTAATTTCTTAGGTTAGCACTCTTCCCAACCTTAGGTCGCAACTCCTTCACCAGCGCAAGCAAAAGTTTCGTAGGGGCATCGAGCCATGAAAATTTCTTTTCTTGACTGCTTCCACCGGAATTTTGAATGGGAACAAAGACCATATCCTCTTCGTTCGGTACTATTGGCGATTCATCGAATGCAGCAGATGCCATGCTAGCAACTCCCTGCGTGAAAAAAATTTCTTCATAGGCTTCATCGCCTGCATGCTGAGAAGCTATTTGTACGCGGTAGTCTGGAGCTATAAATTTAATGGAAAATGTTTAGTTATTTATACAACGATTTTGGGGTGGACATCATCACGAAATTGAAACACTTAATTTTCAGAAGTACTTACCACTTTCAACTCTACGGAATGTACCAGGAGAGCAGTGTAGTTCCAACTTTTTATTACTTGCCATCTTTTGCTGGGGGCTATTCGTTTAGTCAATAACACTTTGTGAGCACTTTCCTTATGTTTTAAATTTTACACTTTTGAATGTTTTGAATGTAAACAAAATTTCAATCAGCTGTTCGTCTAACTTGCAAGTTTCTGCAAATTTTCTGTTCGCGTACTATTTTGGATATTTCTCTCTTGTGAGAGCACAGATGACATTTCGCCGGAATTTGGCAGTTGGTTGGTTTTTACTGGAGATTTTAAACGAACGCACCTATTAATGTTAACATTAGCACATGTGTTTATGTATACATAAGCCTTGCTTTGCGATGTATTCCGTACGAATTAACAGCAGAGGGCGCTCTTAGCTCTGTTATGTGGGCATGTATGTTAGATTCTATAGGATTTTTAAAGTGCTGCTTCCATTTTTAGGAAGTATTTAAACGTTTTTCTTTGCCTAAGACAATAAGAAGCCCATCCAGAACCTATGTATAACCGAAATTTCAAACAAATCAGTACAGCCGACCTCGAGCTTTGCGAACAGAAAAAAAAAAAAGCTAAACCCATAAAATTATGTTACCGGTTTACATACCGATCACACAGCAGTGAAAATCACTTAGATTGGTGCTATATAAGGAATATCTTCCATACCTCTGGTTGTTGAGATATAATTTTTATACCCGAGCGCACTTGTGCACAAGGGTATTATAACTTTGTTCACATAACGGTTGTTTGTAACAGGCAAAACGAATCGAGATAGATATAGACAAATGTATACATAAATGATCAGAATGAAAAGAGAAATCGATTAAGCGGTGACTGTCTGTCCGTCCGTCCGTCCGTCCGTCCGTCCGTCCGTCCGTCCGTCTGTGCACACGATAACTCGAGTAAAAATTGAGATATCTTAACGAAACTTCGTACATGCACTTCTATTGGGCGTGGGACGGATGGTATTGAAAATGGGCGAAATCGGACAATAACCACGCCTACCTCCCATATAACGGTAATTTTCAGAAATACGAAAACTGCGATATTTTAGTAACTACTGAAGATAATTCACTCAAAACTGACATTTAGAATAACTTTTAGACGAGAAATAAGAATATTAAAAATTTTTGAAAAATGGGCGTAGCCACGCCCACTTATAGTTACATGTGTATATTTTGGAAACCGCTGTTCCAATTTCTTCCAAACTTGGCACAGTTGTTGACCTTGGTACAGCATACCAAATGGCCGAAAATTTTTAAAATCGGACAATAACCACGCCCACATCCCATATAACGGTAATTTCGAGAAATACGAAATCCTCGATAAATCAGTAAATATTAAAGCTAATTTATTCAAAATTGACGGTTGCAACAATTCTTTATCAGGAAATACGCTTATGATAATATTTTGGAAAATGGGCGTGGCACCGCCCAATTATGATCACATTTATGTATATCGGTAACAGTTCTAGCAATTTGTACCAAACTCGGTATGATTATTGTACTTGCCACATAAAAGCAAACCGTTGAAAATTATTGAAATCGGACTAAAATTACGGCCGCTTTTCATATAACGGTAAATTTCAGAAATGCTTGAAATTTCAATATTTCGAAATTTAAGGATGCTAGTTTACTTAATATTTATACACCCGCTTATCATGTAGCGGCAGCTTTCGGAAAGGTGGAAAACATATATTTAATACTTGCGCCGGGTATTTAATGTTCGGCTCCGCCCGAACTTAGACTTTCTTACTTGTTTATATATGTATCTCCTCTGTCTATGTATGCTGTGAATATATAAATTTATTTAAATGCAGTAATCTGTTAAAGTAAAATTTTCAGATGTTCATGAAAGGTGGGAAGCCTTCGGCATAGCCGAAGACAGCGCTGCTTTTACTTGTTATTTTTCATTTTATAATAATAGAAGTCGCTTTTGACTGCAAATTAAAAAAAAGCAAGAAACTGCGAAATGGAACAGAATATTCTAAAGCGATTAATTTTATATTAAAGTGCTATACTATACTAATTGCGCATTGAAATATCTCTATTAGTCTATAACTGACTGCACAAAAAGGAGAAAGGTTATCAATTCGTCGAAATATATATATATATTTTTTTAAGGAAAGGTGTTACCTCACAGATGGTCCCATACTAATTTGGTTTAAATCCGATCATTGGATCATGAAGAAATTAATGATAAACTTAAATTTTTATATGAGAATTGAAGTCGGTTTTGTTTTTTGCTTAAAAATTATGCCTTTCATGAACACGAAATGGTATTATAAGTTTTTTCTAATGCTGGTAAGTACCATACGAAGAAGATATAGACCCTCATAAATGTTTGTCGAGCCAAGTCCATATATCTGTCTGTTTGAACGCAATTTATTCCCTCAGTTTTCAAGCTATCGATTGTATTTTTAAAATGTATTAATTATTTGTCGGAACCGTCAAAGTCGGTTCACTATTACTTATAGCTCCCATACAATTGATTGTTCATTTTAGTTCTCTGTCCTGGTTGACCATTCTGTGGAAATTCTCATATGGTCTTTAGTTGTGTCTCACTTTAATTGATTTTAAGTACTTAAAAAAATTATAACTTTTAAGTACTTAGTTTAGTTAAAAATGTTTTTTTCAACATATATCGTGAATAACATACTAAAATAGTATGTACTGAAGTAGACAAAGCACAAAATAAATGTTCCGAAAAGTGGAGAATTTTCGGAATTTTTCAAAAATGTTAATATATTTTAGAATTCTAAGAATTTTCTAGGTGTTATACACAAGTACCATGAACATAGGAATTTTTCGACAATTTGTGATGTTTTCCATCTTTACATTTTAGGATGGATTTCAGAATAAATAAAATTCTAAAAATTTTGGAATATTAAAATTTTTTAAATCTCAATAATTTTGTACGTTTCAAAATATTCTCATTTTACCAAAGTTTCTAGAATCTCCCAGATTCCGATAGTTTTTAAAATTTTGGAAATTATCCTAAGAATAAGAAATCTCAAGAAATTTAATAATTTCATAATATTCAAAATTTTGGAATTTTTGTGATTTTCTAAACCTGCGAAAATATTCAACTTGCTGTGACATTCAACTGTGTAAAATAGTACAAATTCGAAAATACAACAAAAAAGTAAAAATTGAAAATGAAGTAATTTGAAAATTTTGAAAATTCAGTGAATTCGAAGAAATTTGACACACTTTTTCCATGAATTAAAATTTTTTAAAAGCATCCATTCATTATACATTCTGGCCATGATTCATAATACAAGGTTGTGTAATTTGTGACAGCTAAAATTTGACACTTCTATATCTAGATTCGTATTTGGAAGTAGGAGAAAGGGGAAGAATGTGATCGCAGTTTGCGAAAACGGTAGTAGAATGGTACTACAAAAAGTACGCAAAGTATACAATTTGAAGTAAAATGTGTAATATTAATTCTATGCGAATTCGCAATATATTTGGTGTTTTAATGGAAATACTAAACAATTCATAAAAATATGCATTTTTGATTTAAGTTATTCGTCATTTCCGGGAACAAACCTAGAATACCGACAGTTCAGCTATGCAAAAACGAAAAATGCAGATCAATAGAACTTTTTATGCTCTTTTCAACCATGCCAAAATGATTTGGCGCAAGTAAAAAATTAAAAGGTTCTAGAAGGTTAAAGTTAAATTTTTAGATATTTTAAATATTAAATATTTGTTTTTGCGACCTTTTTATTTCCTAAATGTAAAAATGTAAAATAAAAATGGAGTATGCAGAAATGAAGAACAACTACAACAACGCTAGAGCACTAATAAATAAATTTCAATATACATCAAAGAAAGTGGTAAAACAAAAATGTAGTCTTAAATTTCTTTTAAAATGCAGGAAATCTAAGTTAGTTCCTAATTTCATAAAATGTACAACTAGATGCAA